GGAGGTAGGGGAAGGGAGGAGGGTTGGCCAACCTAGGGACAAGGGAACAACAGATGGTTCAAAACCAACGGTAGGGCGGGGACTAGAGGACTGGTAGGGAGTGACCAAGGTCAAGGCAACCGCGAGGAACTACCGAAGCCAGAATGAAGGCTGAACATGATATTGGGACAGGAGGAAAGCGTAAAGAAATAGAGGAAAGAAGTAGGAGGCAAAGGGCATACATACAAGCCTAAAAAAAAAAAAGAATGATAGCAACATATGTACAAATGTGCTTGACACAATGGATATATGGATTGTTATAAGAACTATAAGAGCCCCCAATAAAATGATTTAATAAATAAACGGCGGGTGGGGTGGGGGAGAAAATCCTATAAGGCAATTCTACTCTGCACACATGGGGTCACCATGAGTTGGTATTGACTCGAGGACACCAAACAATGTGGTCGTTGAAGTAACTTGTGTGTCCTTCCTCTCTGGTCCCAGCTCTCCCCTAGAGAAGCCATGATTCTCCTCGATTTGTATTGACAATTCATTTCTCATTTCTATTACAGTTTTACTACTGTACTTGACTCAAAATGAATTGTTATTCTGTTTAATGTGTCTTTGAACTTTATATAAATGGTGTCATACTGTGTATTTTCTTCTGCAACTTATTTTTCCCCTTGCAATTCTATGTTTATAGCTGTGTTTTTTGTTGTCGTTTTTCATTTTTACTATTGTGTAACATTCCATTCTGAGAATTCATTTGCTCATTCCTCAGGCTATGGGCGTTTGACTTGTTTTACAGCCTTTTGCTATAAAGAACATTCTTGCAAACTGAACAAACTGCTGCTAAGAACATTCTTGCTGCTGCATCCTGGTGTACATGTGCAAAACTAGAATGTATAGTCAAGATGGAATTGCTGGGTCATAGGATATGGACATTTTCAGCTCTAGTGGTTAATGTCGATTTATTTTCCAGAGTGATTTAACAATATAAACCTTCACATATTTAATTATTGAACAATTCTTATTTCTTCACACGCTTGCCATTATTTGGTAATGTGTTTGTTCCTTTTTAATCATAGAAAGCAATGTTTTAAACACACTTGCCTTCTAGGAAAACCAGTCTTGGAGCAAAAGCTAGCTATGTGAGTGTTCCCAGCAATGGTTGATTGTACATGTCCTTGCAGGTATGCCAACAGTAGCCTCATCAAGTACATGGAGAAGCACAAGGTCAAGCCGGACAGCAAAGTCTTCCTCTTGGTAGGTGCATCCCTCCCAGGCTTTGAAGTCTGAACCTTAGCACAAGTTTCATCGCAACCCATTGGCGTCCTCTTTAGAAAGAAAGGAAATTGGTTGGTGCTGAGGTTAAGCGTTGGGCTGTTAACTGCAATGCCAGCAATTCACACCCACCAGCTGCTCTGAGAGAGAAAGATGAACTTACCTGTTCCCGTAAAACGTCAGTCTCAGAAATCCTAAGGAGCAGTTCTACTCTGTTCTATAAGGTTGCTGTGAATGGGAATCAGCTGGGGTGGGTGGGTGGAGTATTAAATGTTTTTTGTTGTTGTTGAGATATCACCCCTGACTTCTGGTCTGTATCCCTACGGGCCCCTTCCCCCTCAATAGTTTGTTAGCAGGAAACAATGAAATTCTAGGGCTTTAATGCTGATGATTTTTGCCAGTTGGCCATAACTGTGTGTAGTATAGCAGTCTGCTGTGAGGTATATACACTGTAATCTGATGTTAATCTAATTAGATATTAATGTAAAAGTTCCCTGTTGACTTGTAAACAACCTTCTCATGGGCTCTGTCTCTCACTTTGTTTCGTGTTCCTCTAGCTTCAGAGACTCCTTACGATGGATCCAACCAAGAGAATTACCTCCGAGCAGGCTCTGCAGGATCCCTACTTTCAGGAGGACCCCTTGCCGACACTGGAGTATGTGTCCTGCCTTCCCTGTGTCCTTGGCTCCAGGTTGAGGGTGTGGGACTGATGCTGAGAGTAAGAGAAGCACTGTTGCGGAAGCATTTTACTCTCCTCAGTGAGGCTTACTAGAGAGTGCCTGCTCAAGGGAAAGCCAGACCTTTAGAAACAAGCAGAACTGAAGAGAGGTGTGGACGGAACCAGCTGTTTTCAGGATAACAACTAATTGGTTTTGCAGATGAAAACTAAAGCAGAGAACACATGGGTCAATCAGCCAGATCAGAGAGTCAACGACAAACTAGTAGGAGCCTGATTATCTCCAAATGTGTCTTCCACAGTAGAGCCACTGCACCACAAGAGGCCCTCGACTTCATCTAGACATGCAACACGGGCTTAAATGGTGTAGTGAGGCGGCTCTTCTCTTTTGTGAAACTTTAACTATAATTTTGGTGGGGGGTTACATTTCAGTTCATCCACTTAGCATCCGACAGTCCAAGCCTCCAGTCCAGCCCTCCAGTGGTTCGTCCCCTGCCACGCCTGCCCTGAGCTGCAGCTTTTCTTGGGTGGGGGACGCAGGGGCATGCTTTCACAGTTGAAGCAAATACACATTCAGCTATTTTTGATGCTGATGAAGCTTATTTGGAAAATCTTCTGCAGTGCATATTCTGCCTTATCTAAGCAGCTACGATTTGTTGCTGAACGTGAAAATTAATGTAAAATTTCAGAAAACTAAATTGTGCTTTCTCATTGCTTATAATTGAGTTGTGCTGGGAGACATTCAACAAATCGCCAGCCATGGATCTTGCGGTCAGCAGGTCAATTCGTGGTGCACTAGACCCCCACCCAGGGCTCCTCAGATCAGGAGTGGGAGAGCATACAGAGGGATACGTCAAGCCAAGAAAGAGGGCATTTAAAATGAAGAACACTTACTGATGATGTGCATTTTAAGTCATACTATGACACATCCGCCTTCTTTTTCTTTTTAAAATAATGTTTAGTGTGTTTGCTGGCTGCCAGATTCCTTACCCCAAACGAGAGTTCCTTAACGAAGATGAACCCGAAGAGAAAGGTGACAAGGTAAAAACCACATGAGGCACACTTCCTATCTCTGCCTTTGATTTAACTATGTGGGTTTTGTTTTTTGTTTCATTTTGGAAGTTTTGAGAACGTAGATGCACTGTGACTTGTGAAACACCGTGATTTGCACAGATACATGACTTTCCTTGTGAATGCCCCAGTCTGTGTATAGTTTATCTTTTCCCGGCTTCCAGCTTCTTGCCCATTTTGTGGGTTCAAAGTTTCACTCCACTCTTTTAACTGGTCCCCTTCCTTGAGCCCCTCTGCTTCCCTGAGATCAGGACTGAAAGACAGAGGCCGGCTGTCTTAATGAATGCAGCCTGCTTGTGTGTACCTTAGCCCATCATTGGCGGTCTGGGACTGGTGGGGAGGGTGTCTTCGCCATCTGGATGCACATCAGAGGCCGCACTCTATTCAGAGATTGGCGCTTTCATCTTGGGGGACAGTGTCTTCTCCCACACACTCATTCTCCGGCCAGTTCTGGCCGCCTTGGTATCACATATGTTGCTTCGTAGGTAGGTCAGCAGTCACATGAGAGAAATGGACTAAATTTAGTTTCATACCTCGCTTGTTTTTTCTCTTCCCCTTGCAAAGAATCAGCAGCAGCAGCAGAACCAGCATCCGCAGCCCACGGCACCCCCACAACCAGCAGCTGCCCCCCCACAGGCACCACCCCAGCCCCAGAATAGCACCCAGACCAATGGGACAGCAGGGGGTGCGGGGCCTGGGCCTGGGGGCGGTGGAGCGGGTCTGCAGCATGGCCAGGACTCCGGCCTCAACCAGGTGCCTCCCAACAAGAAACCACGGCTTGGGCCTTCAGGCGCAAACTCAGGTGGCCCCGTTATGCCGGCAGATTATCAGGTATGCCCCAACTGTGCACTTTTTCACCTTCATAAGTTTTATGAAATAGGGACTGGGTTAATAAACTCTGTAACTGTAAAGTTTGGCAGTATTGTTGTGTGTCATCAAGTCAAATCTGACTCCATCCAAACCAAACTGGATGCCAATACTTAGTGACCGTATAGGCCAATGCAGAATTGTCCCAGTGGGTTTGTTTCTGAGACCGACTGTAACGCTTTATGGGAGTGGAAGTCTCATCTTTCTTCCAAGGAGCGGCTGGTGGTTTGGAACTGCTGATCTTTCGGGTAGCAGCCCAACACATAACACATGACGTCATAAACCCAGACCAAATTCACTGCCATGGAGTCCATGTCAATTCATCGCACCCTGTAGCCCGAGTAGAACTGCCCCGTGGGTTTCCAAGGCTGTGATTGTTAAAGGGAGTAGATAGGAGACAGCAAGCCTTTCCGATGCTAGAATCTTTGGGGAAGCAAGAGCCTTATCTTTTCTCTCTCAGAGGGGTTTGTGGGTTTGAACTGCCCACCTTTGGGTGAGCACCCAAGGGCTTAACCATTGCATCACCAGAGCTCCATAAGTGTTGACCACACAAAGCATATACTTTTATTTCTAGGGAAGTGGTTCTCAACCTTCCTAATGCCATGGCCCTTTAATACAGTTCCTCATGTTGTGGTGACCCCAAGCCATAAAATTATTTTCGTTGCTACTTCATCACTGTACTTTTGCCACTGTTGTGAATCGTCATGTAAATATCTGATATGCAGGATGTATTTTCATTGTACAAATTGAACATAATTAAAGCATAGTGATTAATCACAAAACAATATATAATTATATATTGTGAAATAATTTATTTCTAATGAGAAATAAATGAAGTTTTGTCCTGAAGTATGGTGTAGCACGGGTAATAGCCTTCACACCGGGTACCCATATGTGGGTGTATCAGCATGTGGGCGGACCTGCCTGGAGACCGGTAGAGGAGTGGTGTCTCAGTTCCTAAGACCATTGGAAATATGTGCTTTCCAATGGTCTTAGGCAACCCCTGTGAAAGGGTCGTTTGACCCCCAGGGGCTGTGACCCACAGATTGAGAACTGCTGTTCTAGGGCATTATATATAAAAATAAAATAAGATTAAAAAAAAACATTGTATTTCACAGAATTGTTAGATACTTGGCTTCCAAGTGTGCTTCCCCCTGAGACTGAGCAGGCTAAAGGTGGGAAGCAGGTGAGGGGTTGGGTTGGGGTGCAGATGCTTGCTTTGGATAAAATAAATTTCATGAATGATTCATGTGCTTTCACTAAGTAAATAACTACATGGGCATAGAAAAGGACGGATTTGCGATTAAGCAACTCTAAGCTTCTCTAGACAGAACTTTAAAAAATGTTTCTTTGTTGTAAAAATACTGATAACACAGTTCAACATTTTCAAGTATCAAAACTTCTCCCTAGATATAATTTTTAGACCAGAAAATACTTTTTGTTATTAAGCTCAAAAGAAAACTATAATTATACTACTAATTCAGGGAATCAAAGAATAAAAACCTGAAGAATTAGTATTTGGAGAGACAGATGTAAATAGCCCTTGTGGAAACAATAGGGAGGCTTCTAAAAAGCAACAGCACATATTTAAGGTAGGAACAAACTTAGAAAGGGAACTTACAGGGTTTTTTTTTTAAAGGAAAGGTTTGAAGCATAATCCCTCAAGGAACTGGTAGATTGAGAGGAACAGAAAACCAGGCCAGGAGCCCTAACTCACTGATAAGAAACTGGAATAAAGGAAAACATTAGCCAGGAAGATAGAAGAAGTAGCTGCCTACACAGCCTGTGCATTTTTAATAGCTCAACAAACAAAATCTGTTTTCACATCAGTGTTGTTGCTGCTAGCTTGCCTTCAAGCTGGTTCCAACTTATGGTGACTCCCTGTGTGCAGAGTAGAACTGCCCCAGAGGGTTTTCAGGAGCAACTGCTTAGAAGTACGTCACCAGGCCTGTCTTCTGGGTGGGTTCAAACAGCCAACCTTTTGGGTAGTAGAGATATGTTTAACCATTTGCACCACATGATTACCCTGGAACATTATCTTCCCTGATTCCCTGCAAGCAGAAGACAAGCATGTCGTTTAGGCAGACACTGATGGTTTAGTTCCAGACCACTGCAGTACAGCAGATACTGCAATAAAATGAGCCATACCAATTTTTTGTTTGCTTGTGTCCCTGTGCATATAAAAGTTATGTTTACACTATATTAGTCTGTACATTTTGCAGTAGTACTGTGATAGCGTGAAATAGTGTGAGACACGGGGACAGGAAGTGAGCACATGCTGTTAGAATAATGGTGTCAATGGACTTGGTCGATACAGACATTCAATTTGTTAAGAAAACTGACAAAATGCACTTCCTGTGAGACACAGTAAAGCAAAGTGTAATAAAGCAAGGGATCCCTGCACTTGCATTTAGGCGCAGTTCAACTAACACTTCATCTCTGAGTCACGAAACGTAGCTTGCTTGTTGGTGAGTAGTCATGGGCATGTTTAAATTCTATTAGAAATTCAAGTTTCCCCCCCAAACTTTAATATTAGCTTGTCCTTGTTAACATAAGCAACATAGCTTTACTATATACTAATTTATCTCCCTGTTTTCTGATAACAATGCGTTATCCTGATTATAGTCAGTGGTGGAGAGATTTCTCAAATACTTCATTTCTCCTATTCTTTCAAATTCAGCTTTTCAAAATGCTTCTCTTTGTCCTGTGATAGGGAACAAAGACCTCACACTCAAAGATATTCTGTAGAGACCCTTCTAGCAAGTCTTAAAAACACAGAAACGTAATCACCCAGGTGAGAGAAGCTGTCAGTGGCTGCACACAGCACAGAGGTGCCAACAGAGCTCTCTGAGGCACAGCCTAGGTGTCCATGACCCAAGAGAAAGGACATCAGCACCAGAGCATGACTGATGGCAGGCCAAACCTTTACCGGCCACAGGTGGAGCTACAAACGTCGGGAACAACTGTGATTGGTTTGGGGCTTGGAGCACTTGGCTATGGCTATCTGCTTTCCAGAAGTTGACCCATGAAGCCCTGCTGGGGCACAGTTCTACTCTGATAACCGTGGGTGTGCCATGAGTCAGAGCCGACTCAAAGCCATCTATCTGGCTTGAGTGTGTGAAAAATAATGAACCGTCAAAGACATGAAAACAGAAGGTTGACTCTTCAGTAGCTACTCTGCGTGCATATAGGAGGATCTTTCTGATTTCACAAAAAGCAGATGCCTGGAAGTAGGCTGGGTATAATGAGATTTATACAGAGAAGACGATGGTAAAGAATAGGTCAGCCATGTCTAGCCTAACAGGATGATGGTGATCTGCACTCCTCTTCCTGCTGATAATCAGTTACAGTGTGACCTGCTGCCTTCTTCCTGCTCAGATCAGGTACAGGTGACCTGTGGCCCTCCACCTACCTGCTGTCATGCCTATTTGAGATGTAAGTTACGAGGAGAGGCTAGAATCTTCTCCAAGGAGCTCTGATGGCACCATGGGCTGTTCTAAACCCCAGGTCAGAACTCCGAGGCACCAGCCAGTCCAGCTCTGTGGGGAAAAGAGGAGGCCTCTTCCTGCTGTAAAGATTTGTAGTGTCCAAAAACCTGGGGAGCAACTGTGCTCTGCCTTCTAGGGCCTGTGAGCTGGAGTCAACTCAGAGGCTTTTTCATTGAGTCACAAAGTCATGGTTTGCTATGGCTGTCCCTTTCCTAGTTGGAAAAGACAGTTTTCCATAGCCGCAGAGCCACTTCCAGCGGAACCTAAGCCAATGCATGCACACTTTTGTGGATCTCTTACAGTAGGCTATCTGTTATTAATTTCCTCTTCAATAAGTTGGAGACACTAGCGTGGGTAGCGGAGAAGAGTCTTACAGTGCATCAGTCTGTTCTTTATCTGGTTTGTGTGCTAAACCTAAATGGGCAGAGGAACACCAGAAATCGCTGTCACAGAATATGTTTATTGTGAGCAGATACCCCATGAATTGGAAATCGCCAATGTATCGGGAAGGCTCTCCAAGAGGGGGAACAGTGGAAACCGGTTATCCAGGGTGTCTCCTGAAGGTCATGGTAAAGTCCCTTCCTGTTGCTTTCTCAGGAGGTAGGATCCGGGTTTCAGGGTCAGTCAGTGATAACAACAGTTATTAAGAATATGCCATACATATATCCTAAAACACAGCTTGCGGTCAGACCCTGGAGCTCCTGCTTCAGAAAACTGGCTGCACAGAGGTAATTTAGGTCATTAGTCTAAATATGAGTGCTGCCTTAGGCAAAGTGATCTACTGAGCTGCTTACTAGGCTGCTGTTTGACCGGAAGGTGATCTTCAGAAAACCAGTACCTTAAAGGCTCAAGGTTCAAAAGGACACGGAAGGACAAGTAGCCTGGGTGGGTCACCCCAACTGCATGGGCCCAGAAATCTGTTCCAGGAGAATTAAAATCGTTTCTGAGAGGGAAAAGCTGTTTTTTTTTGGTCGAGTCTCATCTGTTAACCTGAACGTAGTTGTAGCCTAACAACCAGATCAGTGGTTCAAATCCACCAACCATTCTGAGGGAAAATGCTGATACTGCTCCCGTAAAGATTAACAGTCTGGGAAATCCTATAGAGGATCACTATGAATTGGAATTGTTTTCTTTTCTTTTTTTAAATTTTTAATCTTTTGATTATTTTCTCTCAGATTTTAGAGTTTTAGGCCTTTTCGGGGCTGGGGGGGGGGGCGAATAAAGCATCTTTGTTTCATCACAAACACGTTTTAGAATAAAAATAATCAACAACCATCTTTTATAATATGAGAAAGACCATTCTGGTATTTTCTTGTATTTGATCCTCCCTGAATCACTTTTATCTCCCTTTACTTAAGGCCAGATCTAGCTTTTCTATTAAGGAGAACCTTGCCATTGTTTTCAGTGGGTTCAAAAAGGACTTATAAACAAGTAGACTGACAGTACTTTCAAAACAGGCCATTGGGACTTTTTATTTCTTAAACAAATTCTTTTTTTTATTTTTTATTTTTATTTCTTAAACAAATTCTTATTAAAAGAGATAAACTACAGCACATTAGATTCTCATCTTCCTATGTTTTAGTTTACCAGTAAATTTGCCATTAATGCCGTCAAACTACAATCAGTCAAATAAAGCATAGTTGAATTTTGGATTTTTGGAAGACTTCATCCACCAGCACAATTTGTCAGAGTTATATAACTGAAGACTGTTTTATTACACTGTTTGTCTTGGACCAGATGTCCCCAGTCCACTTTGGCAGCCTTTGCACGAGGAGGGACCTCACGGATTCATCCGGCCGTAACCCCCCAGGTCCACCTCCAGGGCACTCACATTTTAAATTCGGAGTGATAACTTTATTATGCGTATTTACCCCACTCTGCTCACAGGGAAAACCCACCTCCTGAGCCTCTAAGACTCTGGCTCCGCCTTGCATGTGCACATACCAGACCCAGCTTTCCAGATGAACGGCCCTTGCCCTTTTGGGGTGTTGTGCTTTCATATTGAACTGTGGCACTATGCAGATGAGTGTTTCATTTCAAGCTAGTGACTGTCCTAATAATCAAGATCAAAGTGTATTCAATTGAGCTACATTTGTCCCTGCCTCCTCTGGAGGATGGTCAGCTATGAAAACTGCTCAGAGCACTGCCTCATCCTGCCGACCTCTCATTGCTCTCTTATGGGAGGTGGTGTCAGAAAGCTCACGGAACCAGGCAATGAAGAAATCATGGAATGTCCCCCTGGACCTCTCTCAGCTTTCTGTGGATGCTGCTGCCATCTGCCTTTACTTCCAAAGACTCTCGTCTCTAAAAAACCCGGTTTTCTTCATCGTGGTCTTGTCATTTCTAATGAGAGAATTAACAGCGTGTCTATATGCTAAATACATATTATTGATCCCCACATGCCAAATCAGTGAATCTTGTTTACAGACCTCCATTCTGCAAAGGACTAAACTGCACCCCAGCATTAGGGTAAAGAGCAGTGAGTCAGCATGAGTTTTCTATCGCCTTCCCTTGCCAGTGTAGCTTATCTCCCAAGAAAGGCCGCCAATTGTGGTGCCTGTCAGGACATGCGGCTACAGGCTGTGGTTTTAAATAAAGTGCATTCCCAAGCCAAGTCAGCCAGCATGGAGCCAACCCAAGGGCCCAGGGATGAAAACTGCTGGTTTTTCTGCCCCTTTGTGATTAACTGGAGCCCTGAGTGAGGTATTGGTTACACGTTGGGCTCCTAACTGTGACTTCAGCAGTTCAAAACCCTCAGCCTCTCTGCAGGAGACAGATGAGGCCGCCTACTCCAGTGAAGAGTCACAGGTTGGGAAACTCAACAGGGTCAGTTCTACTCTGTCCTGTAGGGTCACCATGAGTCAGAAGAGTGAGTGTTGTTTTTTTTAGGCGGAGTAGTGGTGGTGGTGGTAGTGGTAATTGTGACTAAGTATCCCTGGGTAATTAACTGCAAATCGTTAACAAGTTGACTGCTAACCACAGGTTGCAGTTTCAAGTCCACCCAGAAGCACTTTAAAGAATGGCCTGGTGATCTGCTTATGAAAAACTAGCTCTTGTAAACCCCGTGGAGCACAGTTCTGTGCTGACACACCGGGCTGTCACATGTCAACACCGGGGCAACTGTTACTTGTGATTGATGCCTTGAACCCTTTTCTTCTTCCTTGGGTAATGTCTTCCCGGTCTCCTTTTTCCTAGCACTCGTCTTCACGTCTGAATTACCAAAGCAGCGTCCAGGGATCCTCCCAGTCTCAGAGCACCCTGGGCGGCTACTCCTCGTCCCAGCAGAGCGCGCAGTACCACCCATCTCACCAGGCGCACCGGTACTGAGCAGTATGGCTGGCACAGGCGCGTCCCCTGAGCCCGCCCCGCCCAGCCACCCGGTGCGGTCCCTGCACGGACTCAGCAATACACTGATTGTGTCGACAAGAACCAAAAATGCAGACCCTGCTTCCGGTTGAAAACTCTCCCCTTAGGGGGAGAACCTGAGCATCTTGCAGGTCTCCCCACTTCTCTATCAGCTTAAGGAAGCTCCCGTAAAGTTTCCCGAGCCCCTTCCCCTGCACGTGTTCGATGGTCATCTCCGATTGAACGTCTGATCTAATCCCAGCACTTCCCACCTTCAGCAGTGTTTGGAAGGATTTCCTGGTGCACCTTTCTCATGCTGTGGCAAGCAGTATGACTTACCTTTTGAAGCTCTTTTAATAGCATTTTAATGTTTTAGGAACAGGATTCCAGTGGTGTATAGTTTTATATGACTCCAAGTGTTTTAGCGACACACGTAAAAATGCACCTTTGAAAGCACTACGACGTCTCTACGGGATATCACTGTTGTGCTCATGGAAGTCTGAAACAACAACTGGTCCTGTCCCAAAGTACTTTGCGATTGTGTGCTTATTTATCTAGTTTCAGGGAAGGTCTACTGAAAGACAGGCGGTGGGACCAAGAACCTCCAACCCAAAGCCTAGATCTTTGCAGTTACTAGCTGTACGCGATGAAGAACTGAAGCCTGTGGTCATGCGTATGACCATCCATCTGCAACGCCGTTCCGAGAATCATCCTCGGGTCCAGAAAAGTAGAGTACTTAAGAATGATCATGTGTGACCTTCATACAGCTGAGTCTACCTTAAAGAGGGGTTTGAGAGCTTTGAGGAAATGCTGTCCTCTGGCAACGTTGCCAGAAAGCTACAAGTGATGCTGACCTACGCTCGGGTTTCTCTAAGAAGGAGCCATGTCCAGGAGAGGGCCAGCTGCCCCCCTCGCAGGCAGGAAAAAGCTGCGCGTGTGTATTGTGTGTGCATACCGTCGGCCTCTCTGAAGAATTGCCCTCTTCCTCACCTCGGCGTCAGCTGTAAATCATCAAGGGTGCACAAACCGAAGCCTGCAAATTAATCTGCTTTTGGAATCAAGAGGCAGTGTTAATCCATTCATGTTTGCATTAGACACAGACTAGTTTTAAAGCATGTTAAAATTTTAGGTTTCATTCATGTTTATAAAGCGTGTATTACGTATGCATAACTTTGCTGTCTTTACTGAAACTTAATTCTATCAAGAACTTTTTCATTGCACTGAATGCTTTCTTTTGCCCTTAGAGGAAATGTAATAACTGTGCCTGAAAGCTGTGGGCAGGTAGGCTAAGGCTATCAATGAAAACAGATATTTGCATTTCAGCCATCTGTGAATCCGAGGCTGAGCTCCTGCGTAGCCAGCCTAGGGAGGCTCTTACTCGCCAGAGTCAGAATGTACTGGAAAGAGGTAGCGCTCCCATTGCAATGCCACAGCTAAGCAACCGGTATTCTTCTGAATGCTACTAGCAGCACCAGCCTTGTTTCAAACATTGCTTTTTTTTCCCCTCCCTCTTTCTTGAGCTAGAAGAAATAGCTGATGTATATGCAAATTACATGCATTTTTTTTACTATTCTTTGTGAACTTATCTACCTGGTTATAATACTTTGGGTCCATACACAAGTGGAATAGGAGTTTACTCAGAAGCCAGTATACATTTTGCACTATTGATGTGATACCGTAGCCAGCAAGGACCTTACTGATCTCCACGTAATGATGCTTATTGATCGTAAAGTGGCACTCTTCAAGACTGTGGATCAGACAGCTGACTTGCTCCACTGGAAGGAAGTTCTGATCGTCTCCATGGTAGTTTATCCCTTCTGTTTCTTAAAATAAGAAACTGGTACCCCAACTTCTGCCCTGTGCCAGGAAGCCTTACTGCCCCAAGCTGTGGGTCAGCACAGACTTCTTTCTGCCCCTCTCCACATGCCTGGCACAAGGCTGGTGGAGGGCGTCATGCAAGGGTGAGGCATGCTTCCAGTTTGAGGAGGATAAGTGAGGCTACCTTGAGGTGTTTATGCCATGAGATTGGCTCATCTGTGAAGTTATTGTCTGATATGAAGGTTCTTTGATTTACTTCTAACCCTGCTTGGAGGGAATTATTATTCCAAAGTCTGCACTATAGTGAATTGTGTTAGGGAGAGATTTCTATTGTCCACCCACCTTAAAGAAAGAGGCTAAATACCACAAAATACATTGGTGTATATTTTAAATGTCCAATCAGGCGGTCCTCAAGGCAGAACACTCCACTGAGTGCTGTAGGAAATGCCATACAGTGAAAATAGAAGCTCTTGCTTCTGCCCTCAGGGGAAAAAGGCATTCAGTAAAAGAAGACAAACCCAAATGTGTGCATGAATTAAATGCCATGCCTCCTTAGTCCTTTGTAAGCAACTTTGATCTGTGGTTCCTGTACTCTGTGCTTATACACTCAGAACCACCCTCCTATGGATACAGAATGACTATGGGCAGGAGGGACGTGCACCACTTTCTCTCATACACAGTGTCTGTCTTCCAGGATGTAGCCAATAAATGGGTCTCTGGTCACCGGGCTGGTGGTGGCTCTCCCTCCTCAGGGTTGGTGATACCCATAGTGCCCATTATGCTCTCGGATAATTTTGGCTTGACCTTTCCTTTTCCCTATAACGAGGAACAAAACCTTTAGCACTCATAAGGGCCCTGAAACTGTTGGACCACTGAAGAGACCGGTGAAACTTTAAGGTTAAAATGGACTCTTGTGGACCCCAAATGATCCTGTTCCTCTCAGAAAGCTCATTAGATGCAGTCATGTCCCCCCGAAGGCAGTGGGCGGTCACCCTTCAATGGAGAACACATCTCTCAGCTCGTGGGGACACCCAAGCCAGAAGCCATTTAAAGGAAGGACAGCCCAAGTGAAGGCTTTCTTCCTTCCAGAGGACAACTCCATATTACAATTGGCTTTCTGGCGAGATGTGTTTGGAAACAGGCACACAAGAGCCTTGAGGCAGATGAGCCAAAGGCTGAGGTCGTCTGGGCAGCAGGGCCGGGTGGTGAGGCAGATCATGTAGTAGCTAACACCTGGAAACAAGGACCTGGCTATGTTGATGTGTGTGGTTTTGAAACTAGTGTTTAGAGCATTGGCCTTCAGCACAGCTCGTGGTAACCAAAAAAAAAAAAAAAATCATTTACTCTTTAAGAATGGAAGGGATGACATGTACTCCATATTGGCCCGTGGCTGGCCCCTGGTGGAGGACAACTGCTAGCCCTCTGCCTGGGCACCCAAGGGGTGGTCTCTGCTGCAGGGAGAGCTGCAGCCCAAGAGTCAGGCTAGAATTTGATTCGCATTGGGCAAATGTATGTAGCAGAAACTCGGCAATGAAGGAAGAATTTTATAGAAATTGCAAATCGAAAACTGTAATGCTGTCTTCCTTGGGACCGTAGGAGACCGTGAAATGGCAGTTAGACTGAAGGAGGCTAGAAGGTCTCAAGTATGAGCGATATTTTATATGAAACAGCAGTATAGGTCCTCATTGTCTTGGAGAAGAGTCACACGTATCATAAAGCAAAGATCATTGTTTTAGGATTTTTAAATGTCTTGTACCTAAGGCCATACTTACTCTTCTATGCTATCACTGCAAAGGAGTGATATGTATGTATTATATGAAAAAAAAATCCTTAATGCACTGCTATCTCCTAAATATTTAGTAAGTTAATACTATTTAATATTTTTAAAGACTTGTCTGTGTAGACACTAAAAGTATTACACAAAAGCTGGACTGAAGATGTCCTTTTTAACAGCAATTTAAAGTACTTTTTATATATGTTAAGTAGTATATCCTTTCTAAACTGCCCGAGTTTGTACCTCCCATAATTCCTGTTGTGAAATGTCCCTGCCCTGGCCGCCTCCTCTCTGTAATTGTATGCATGCACCCCCTTCGTAGAACGCTCTAGCTGACTGACTGTGTGCCTCGCCCGGGAGGCCCTGTCCCCGGGGCGTCCCCGAGACGCCCTGTGCAGCCGCTGCCCCCACTGCTGGGTTGTCCCGACACCCTTGAGATGACTGTTAAAAACTAAAATAAATTACATTGCATTTATTTTATATTCTTGGTTGTAATAAAATTTAATGGACTTTGTTTCTGTGTGAATTTCTTTTGCTGTGGTTTCAAAAAATTACATAGAATGAAACTTAGAGTATTAACACTGGAATTAAAAGATGAACTTCTTCCACAAACTCGTTGAAGTCCCCACATATCTATATGCACAGGCTTGACCATCATTTTGCTCTGTGAATAAAAAATACCAACTAAGTCACCACTTTCTTAGATGTATTTTTAGTACATGTGAAACACGTATAATGAAAAATTATTTACATATACAACTCAGTGACAGCGGGTACGTTCAGGGTGGCATGTGACTGTCGCCACAGTTCTTTTCCAAACAATTCCCCCACCATGGACAGGTACCCAGAGCCCTCCAAGCAAAGAGACTCCTTCCCTCTTCTTTCAGGCCCCAGTTAAAAAAAAATACAAAAAACCAAACTCCCTGCTGTCCAGTTGATGCTGACTAATCGACCCTGCGGGGCAGGGCAGAACTGCCCGTGTGAGTTTCCGAGACTGTTACTCTTTACCAGAGTAGAAAGCCCCATCTTTCTCCCACAGAACGGCTGGTGGTTTTGAACTGCCTACCTTGCAGTTTTCAGCCCATGGTATAACTAGTAAACCACTCATAAATTTCATTCTCCAACCACTTGCCTTTGGGGGGGGGGGGGCTCATACAATACTTGACCTTTTGTGACTGATTATTTCACTCAGCATAATGTTTTTAGTGTTCCTGTTGCAACGGATATTTCGAACACTGAAACACTCTTGTAATGAAAGTTTTTAGTGTTGAAATTGTATTCGTGTTCTGGGAAGTTTTGAAGATCACCCTTGTCCTGCCAAGAGTACGAAGCCTTCTTGTGAGTTGCAACAAGTTATTTTACTCAGGATCTTTATGTCACAAAACCAAAGCAGCAGCAATCTCACGAGGAAAGGCTTCCCCTCCTCCCAGTGACCATGAATGTATTAGAAAAGAAACAGGTAACATTTCACAGGCTCATTCGAATCAGGAGTTTCTCCTTTTCTAAGAGCATTTCTGTTGTAACTGCTGCTGCTCTTCAGTAATCTCCCTGGGGAATTTTCATTGGAGGGAGTGCATGTTTAATGACACACATACAACAACTGATTTCGTGTCCCTTTGCCTCAAGGAACCAGGGCGGGCTGCCATCCACAAGGTCCACAGCATCCCTTCATCAGCTACAGCCTCATGAGCTCACTGGGGACAGATCTGCCCCGTCCTGTAGAGTTGCTATGAGTTGGAATTGACTTGATGTGATGGTAGCGAGTGAGTTTTAGACTGCCTCACTGGTTGGCACTGATTGTATATTTGATACCATGCTATTTGTAGGCCAAGTCATCTTTTGGAATACTGTTCTTCGACCACAGCTGCCTTTTCTAACCAACCAGCTGGGTAAGAGCAAGCAAATGGCTGAACAAATCTTTATTACCCTGAAGTGTGTATCTAACAGACGATAAGGTCCTTGTGGACAGGGCCAGGGCCCTAATCGCCTTTGCTCCCCTACACCTGGCATGCTGTCTAACCCAAAGCACTGACACATAGAGACCTTACAGGACAGGCTAGAAGTTGAGTTTCTGAGGCTGTAACTTTAAGGGAGTACAAAGCCCCTGATGTCTAACAGAGGGTGCTTAATATGGTAAATCATACATTGGAACAGAATTCCTGGATTATATAATATTGCCATGGTTATATAAGAGGGCTTCAGAAAAGTTCATGAAAAATGGAAAAGATTAAATTCTTCCACAAACTTAGAAGCCTTGTTATACATGGACAAGGTTGAACATAATTTTGTTCCATAAATAGAAAAAAAATAAAACCCAGCAACAATAGTCAATCGTTTTCTTAAAATAAGTTCATTATGTTTTGGGCTGCAAAGACAGAATACTGCTCAAAGGAGTACATTATTTAACTTGAATCTTCAAATTATACCAAATTAGGCATTTGTGCCATTTCTTTAGAAACCACCTTTCTTCCGGCTGCCTACATGTATGCATATTCAAGCCTCGTATAGCATCCTTTGAAGTAGTAGGCAGTAAGTAAGAAAGCCAGCTTGGACACGCAACACACTAACCTAACGGAAAACTTCACTGTACCTAAGTGAGCGAATGTATGGGGGACAGAAATGCAAACATCAGCTTAAGACATGTAAATGCCTCGATTGAGCACATTTCTTCTTGGCTGGTTATACTTTCCCAGAAAATGCTGCTGAATTCTCGTACAAGGGTGTCTCACTTTCCCTGTCAAGCTAGTAAGTCAGTCAGCTCTGCTTCATCCCTGACTTCATTCCTCTCCCCAGATCAACTGATTAGTCTATACCTTAACATCTAGTCTTCCCCAACACCACCTCCTTTTTTAGCAACTTAATTTTAACTGAAATCTGCACTCTTCTTGCCTATCAGGATAAACTTAAGGTTCTCAGTTTTCTACCCAAAGATTATCTGCCTACCTTTACACACTTAAAGATTATTCTTTTGTTTTCCTGAAAATTTACCCAAACTCCTAGAAGGACAACTGTTAATGTTCCTGCCCCCAAATGGCCATCTCCCCTAGCCCCACCCGCACCCCACAACATTTGCTCAGTGCCTACTGTGAGCCAAGCACTGTGCTGAGCAAGTAGACTTCTCAGAACACTGTGCTCTGAGGAGCCTGTCCTACACCAAGAGGCGTTGTTGAAACAGAACAAGGGATGCCGCATGTCTTAAAACCAGGAAAGCTGTGTGTCAAGATTCCTTTCACTATATCTACTCAATCTGTATGCTGAGCAAATAATCTGAGAAATGTTTCTGTGAAGAACGTCATGACTGGAACATTCATTAGCCCGTGATATGTAGATGACGCCACCTTGCTTGTTGAAAGCACTGATATGATCGATGACTACAACCTGTAGTATGAATTATATCTCAACACAAAAATCCTAACAACTGGACCAGTCAACCGCACCATGACAAATCCTGCCTCAGTACAAGGACGGTTTGTTCCAATAATGTGACAATGTATGATACTCACCTTCCTGATACGATTGCTGAAGACAAAATGGGTGCATAAGCAAATGTGGTGAAGGAAGTTGAATGGTGCCTAGCTATCAAAAGATACTGCACCTGGGGTCTTAAAAGCTTGTAATTAAACAAGCGGCCATCTAGCAAGGAAGCACTAAAGCCCACATGGAAGAAGCACACCAGCCTGTGTGATCATGAGGTGTCGATGGGATTATGTATCAAGCATCAAAGACCAAGAGCAAAAAATCATAATGTGAATGATGTGGGGAGTGCGGAGTGGAGGCCCAAAGCCAATCTGTAAGCAACCTGTGTGATCATGACAGGAAGAGGGATCAGAACAAAACATGTAACCAACTCAATGTGGAATGTGGAGGGGCATGGATGCAATAGAGACCCAAAACTCACTTGCATATGTTCAAATGTATATTTATGAGTGTTCGGTACATGAAAGTTAGGATAGATAGCCCTGCAGAAACAGTAACAGAAGTAATGGTTCCCTGAGGTACGGGAAGAGAGAGGTGGGAGGGAGATGGGGAATGGGGAGCTGATAGCATTGATGATTGTATAACTTCGCTTGATGGGATTGAACAACAATTGTATGTGAATGGATATATTGGATTGTGTAAGATATGTCAATAAGACTATTATAAAAAATAAAAGATATTATGGCAAACAAAACCAACCTCATGACAAATAGAGAAAAGATTGAACGTGTCAGGGATTCATTTTATTTGAATCCATAATGAACACCCATGGAAGCAGCAGTCAAGAAATCAATGTATTGCATTGGGAAAATCTGCTGCAAAAGACCTATCTGAAGTGTTAAAGAGCAAAGGTGTCACTTCGAAGACTTAAAGTCTACCTTCGGAATGCTGTGTCGTCTTGGGTAGGTTACTGCGCTTCTCTGATCTTGTTTCACTATCTGTAAAATGTCAAGAATGATCACATCAGCTAATAGCTCTATTGCCTGAGGGAGTGCCTACTTCATAGCAGCCTCACAACAAGCATGGGACCCCTTGTTTCTCAGAGCTCAGTGTCTTTCTATGGGCATTCCGAATCCTAACAAAATGTTTCAGGTCCTTATGGCCTTTGTTGGTGATCCTTTGTGGTCCAGAGGATGACATCGACATCCATGGAGACCATTAGGTCATACATGTGCATGGACAAATACCAAGGACAACATCACCCTTTAGGCCAGGGAGCACTCTTACAGGCAGAGGGCCAAGGGACAAGCACCAGGGTTCAGCTTCTTTAAAGAAATGATCCAAAATGAGGGGCTCCTTTATCATACTTTGTTTGCATCACCACCTCTCTTCCCTCCCCCCGCCCCCCATCTCAATCAGAAGATCGTTAAGCTGTGTTTCTATGTTGCTTCTAGCTGTGCTTCTACCAGAGGGAACACCTATCTCTTCTATGCACGCAGTTGCAACACGAAGCATAAACCGCCCACTTAGTCTGGATCCGGTTAGCATTTGGGATCACAGAGAGAACACTGTCTCCCATTTCCCCACGGTGGGTCTCATCAGTTACCATCTGTACTCCCAGTCCCTGGGTGATCCTAGTTTAGAAAAGCTTGGTCCTCTATTGCCAATCCTTTTGTACCACAAAGGAACCCTCGGGGTGCTGTGGGGGAAGCCGTGGAGTGCTTACTCATTAAGATGAACCTGTCTGCTCTTGTAAACAATTACAGACTTGGAAACCCTAGGAGGGTCCAAATCAACTCCAGGGCAGTGGGTTGTTGTGGGGGGGGGGGGCATGCACCACGAACGTAAGAAAGATAGCCAGGGACACAAAGCTCCTGCCTTTTGCCTGTCAGCCTTGATGGGCCAAGATCAGAAGGCATGGTCCCTTCAAGCTGCTGAAGAAGAAGGAGATAGAGATTCTCACAATAGAGAACAGCTGGTGGTGGGTGGTGGGTGGTTCCCAGCCTCCCATCTGCTATGGAGGGCCACTTTGTGCAACCTGACAGGACTGGAACAGTCTGGGCCCATAAACTCCAAACCAATAAAGCAAAATTCCCT